TGGAGGGCATGTATACTCTAAGAAAGCTTGAACAATGGCAGTTTCTGGCATTCTCATGTGTTGCCAACCAATTTCCACATGCTCAAGTACAACTCTACTTTTTCAGAAGGTAGATGTCCCTGTGGTCTGATCTGCCGTGATTTTTCATGAAGTTTTATGGGGCTAGGAGTCAAAGTACTAATAAATGGAACTGCATGTAAACTGATCTTTTAATAAAACTGCAGTTATTGGGGGGAAGGGAATCTTTGTAAGATTTCAGAATAGTCTATCCTGCATTTTCCATTTTGCTTGGACAGAAATGTGAAGTGGTGGCTGCACTGAGGAAGAAGAAAGCAGCCTGTTACAGCCCTTAACTCCCTTAACTGTATCTCCAAGCACCTGAAAGAATACCACAATCACTCGCTGTTTTTAGTTTAGCAAGGGTAAGAACTTGGTGTACTTCTAAGTAGCAAAAGGGGAAAAAATATGAAAGGGAGAAAAGCCACAGTAAATGCATGGGGTATTTTCCATCTTGCATGGCTGGCTTTTCAGTATTTACATTACATAATATACAGCTACTAGAATTACCATGTTCTATTCCAGAGAAGCTTCCGGAAACCAAATTATTTAGTGGCTAGGAATGAATGCTAACCCCATCATTTGAAACACAAGCTAATAATATAGAAGTTTATTCTACCCAAGGGTATGTGTATCCGTCATACTTGAGAAGCATTCCTCTGGATGATAAATTCATCTTGATGGGCATGTTTACAAAGGCTTTCTTCCTAGGATAATTGGACGATTTTGGTTTGGGGGAATAGAGACATTTGAAAAGTATTCTAGCACAGTAAAACACTCCAGAGATCTGGCTATGAAGAGTTGAGGCCCAAGGAAATGAGCAAAACTCAGAAAGGATAAATGAGATCATCAGTCTTGAATGGCCAAGAGGCATGCTTGGGTATGCTGTGGTTGTCACTAAGGGGGCCATGGTCGACATAGCTGCCCCTTACTGCCTACCTCATACAAGGCTGAGGACCACTGGTCATTTGTAATGGATGAGCTCACCCAGCTTCCCTCTAATATTCCCAGGAAACCCTTCCCATGGAGCAACAGAGACCTGTCAGTGAGCTCCTTAGGGCTTGGAAGTTGGAACAGCTGACGTGGCAACAAACTGCCTGAAACACAGTGTGAAACCTAAGGATAGTAGACCTTGTTATTGCAATGCAGAGGCACATTTAACTCCTCATCTTGAAAACATAATCCACCACCAACATATGAGTTCAAGTGTGACAGCTGGGTTTATGCAACAGTGGAAATTCACTGCTTCCTCACACATTCTTCTCCCCTGCTACCCATTCTGAGTGTCCAAGTTGGTATCTTGCAGTTTCCAAATATCTCACTAATTTACCCTGCAAAAGGTTTCTTCTCACTATTTAAAACTGTGAAGAGATGCATTTTTACTCTATTTACCCATGTAATATTTTTTTCTCCAAAATATATTGAGGTGGTTTTATTCATAACCTACCAGTAATTCATTACTCACAACTAGCCAAAAATTGAGATGTTACATGTGCTCATTTTACCAGAAAGTCAGGGGTCAGGTTGGACTGGGTCACCAAGCTGCTATTTCTTTGCAGTTGCCAAGCCATTTTAGAAATAAGAGAATATTAATAGATATTATTACTATTTTTTTTTTGGAAAACTGCTGTTTAATCACAGAATCACAGAATTATCTAGGTTGGAAGAGACTTCAAGATCATTGAGTCCAACCTCTGACCTAGCGCCAACAAGTCCTCCACTAAACCATAGAATCATAGAATCATAGAATATCCTGAGTTGGAAGGGACCCTTAAGGATCATCAAGTCCAACTCTTGACACCGCACAGGTCTACCCAAAAGTTCAGACCATGTGACTAAGTGCACAGTCCAATCTCTTCTTAAATTCAGTCAGGCTCGGTGCAGTGACCACTTCCCTGGGGAGCCTGTTCCAGTGTGCAACCACCCTCTCTGTGAAGAACCCCCTCCTGATGTCAAGCCTAAACTTCCCCTGCCTCAGCTTAACCCCGTTCCCGCGGGTCCTGTCGCTGGTGTTAATGGAGAAAAGGTCTCCTGCCTCTCGACACCCCCTTACTAGGAAGTTGTGTTCAACATCTAAACGTCTTTTAAAGACCTCCAGGGATGGTGACTCCACCACTTCCCTGGGCAGCCCATTCCAATGCCTCACAACCCTCTCAGTAAATAAGTTCTTCCTAATATCCAACCTAAAACACCCCTGGTGCAACTTAAGCCCATTCCCCCTCGTCCTGTCACCAGGCATGTGAGAGAACAGACCAACCCCCACCTCTCTACAGCCTCCTTTGATGTACTTATAGAGAGCGATAAGGTCACCCCTGAGCCTCCTTTTCTCCGGGCTGAACAAGCCCAGCTCCCTCAGCCGCTCCTCGTAGGACTTGTTCTCCAGACCCCTCACCAGCTTCATCAAATGTCCAACTTCAGAGGTGGATACAAGTCAAAGCTTGCAATATCTTCCTTTTATGCTAGGTCCAGTTCAGACTGACTCTTTGTGACAGCACAGGCAATGTTGGAACACCCCAGATACATGTCCTGCTTGAGGAGCTCAACTTGTCTATAAAGTGTCTGACCCCCAAACCAACCCTAGCACATCTGAGGCATCTAGCTCAATATGTTTCATATACAAATTTCTTATAAGAAAATCCCTTTTTTATGTAATCATAAACACAAGAGAAGGGGAAACTCAATGACTGGAGCTGAGTCACAAAAAACAAAAGCTTCATACAGTGGGAGAGGATGTGGAGAAAGCAGGGGTAGGTGATGGACAGCACAGGGAGGACTGTAAGGACTAAATGCTCAGTTTAGGGGAATGATGCAAGAGAGGCTTTTAGATCTCTTTCTTTCCTTGCTGAAGTGGCAGGTCTTCTCTCCTTGTGATGGTCTGGAATAACAACGATTCCTAGACATTAACGTGTCAATGGTTTTGGACCACTGAAACTAAAAAACATTTTTTTCCTTGTTAACAAAATCATATGTGCCCCTCTGCTTTTCACTGGGATGTTCAGTGTAAAATTCATGTTTATGAAAATTTAAAAGATACAGCCTTTACCCACACATCTGCTTCCACTTAGGAGAAAATCACAGCAAGGAAAGGATACTTTCTTTACATTCTCTTTAAAATCTCACCACTATTCCTCCTAGCCCAAAGTGTAGTTTTGCTGTTTTTCATCCTTGCAAGGAAATTTCATATAGCTGTGACTGTCATGAGAGCAGGCAGCTACTGAAGAACTATTGGCAAAATGCATAACCAGTGTAAGAGTTTTTAACTGGTTTAGGAACAAGTTTAGGGATTTAATGTTCTTGGAGACAGCACTCCAAAATAACTCTGAATCAACGTTGTGTAGTAACCTGCCCAGGTAATGCCTTTCCTGAGAACTTTGTCAGTTTACCAGTAAGAAATGTGAGCTGGCCACTGATGCAACTTCCTCTGAATATCAATGTTACATTCAGAGGCCATTGGGATTGCAAGCGGGTGGTGGTCTAAAGCTTTATCCACCACAAACTGCCCACAAACAAGGTTAGAAACCATTGAGTGTCAAAACCTACAGCTGCGTAATTTTGCTGCCTACTACCAGGAACAGGCTACAGTCCTCATGGCTGACTACCCACAAATAGAAACAACAATGTGAGGTTTTACCAAAGTGTGAAGCTGCTTAGAAGAGGTGGGCCAGTAAACAGTTAGACAGCTTAAACTACATGGCACGGATTCTGGAAATACCCATGAATATTTGATAGGTGCTGAACCCTCATTAAGGAGTACCCCATATCAGTTCTACAACACCAAGGAAACCTTTAAAAGCTTTATTCCAAGTGGGGAATAGTGCTAAACTAACAGTTACCAACTCCAACAAGAACACAGGTGTAGTTCTACAACCCAGGTGTATCCCTTGACTTCACAAGCATGTGGAATCTATTCCAAAACAAGCCCATGATGAGCAAAAGTGACAAAGAGGAAATTGGATCTGATGTATCACCAATGAAAACAGCCTTAGAAAGCTGCAGAGATGTGTTCATGATGAGGCTCCAGTGCTACCGTAAGGGCAAGAAGCCCCAGTTTTAAAATTTACAAAACCAGTGTTTGGCACTAAAAAAAGTTGCAATTTTGCAAATGCAAAACAGAAGTAAGGGGTTGTTTTCCAATGGAATATGTGCTGTAGAATTGGAAAAGAAAGCTGTGGAGATAAGCCTGCTGCTGAACCTCTGGATAAATATTGTCATATTCTGAAAGGTAGATTTTCAAATACAAACAAACAAAAGCTGATCACAAAGTAGGAGTTTAGAAAGCTACTCTCACATTATTAATCACAAATTTTTTTGGTAAGATCACCCATCACACAAGGAGTCAAATGCCTCAAAGTCTCAGAAAGACGAGGTTAGCAGACAAAAACACTATTGGTACTAGAATTTCATAGACTATATTAAAAAGAAAACAAGTCCAGACAGACAGTAGTTTTATTAAATATTGAGTTGTTTCTCAGCATCATGTTACTATCTTCTGGACAATTTATGTTGTCCTAGGAAAATTCAAGTGTGCAAAATGTTCAATCAAAAGACATGAGTTCAGTCATTTCTCTGAGCCTGGCATAAACAAAGGTGTTTTATGCCAAGTGGACATAACCAGGCAAGCTCTTTGACATTCCTACAGCAACAAGTAATTGTTATTATTCCTGCTTCAGATATGACAATAGTTTTCTTGTCTCCTTACATAAGAAAGAGCTATCATTTGCTTTGTCAGGACTGGAAGGGAGCACGTTGTACTTCAGTGAAGAACAATTTAATAGAATTGATTTTAGCACACATGCTTCACAGTTTGGTCAGCACAACAGTATGTTCACTTTATTTCATAGTGTGGATGAATTCTGAATGCAATAAACTTGTCTTAAAGCAAAACTTTCAACCCGTTAAGACCTCACATTGATGTTTGTGATTATTTATTGCAGTTATTAATGTTTTTTTTTTTTTTTTTTTTTTTTTTTTATTAGGGTAAAACCCACAGGGCACAAGGAAACCTAGCCCTTCTTAAATGCCCAAATAAATGAGGCAATCACGACAAGTGGAAGAAAAGACATTCAGATGGTAAGAAGAGGGCAATGACAGCCTGGGACAATAAAACCACTTGTCAGGTTTCACATACATTGTGGTATCACTACAGCAGTCTGTTTTCCACACAGGGAATGCAAGCTTGACTGAACAGCCTCCATGGCATGGATTCTTGTAGCTTTCCTTCAGGGGTGCACCAGCAATTGCATTGCCCACAGCAGCCTTCTGAAAGGCAGCAGTGTTCCTTTCTCTGGTTTTGAGGGGTTATGTTCTGATTGGGCTGAGGTAGAAAGTTCAAGAGCATCTCATTTTCATCTACTCTTGGTGCTTTGGGGGCACTATTTTAGAGTTTTGTTAAATAAAAGTTGAGCACAAGGCCTGTGGAGCAGCACCCACTGTGCTGGAAGCACCAGCTGGTACCCAAGCAGCTTATCTGAGAAAGAGTCTGATCATGGTAAAGCAGATCCCAGAAAGGTTTGTCTCAAATTCCAGAGACTTTGTCTTGGACTCCCAGCCTTCTTTTACAGGTATGATAACTGTGGGCAATTTTTGGATCTCTGTGGTTGCAATAAAAAGACAGAATAGTTACAATTTCTCCATATTCCACACACAGCTTTATCAGCCTAGACCTTTCTTTGGTGTGGTAGAAGAAACAGGCACAGCTTATTCCTTTGGGACAGAGAAGTGGAAGCACCAACCTGGGGTTTCTCTGATCATTTCCAGATCATTCTTGGAACCACTTATCCGTCTTATGACAATATGTCACCATCAAAACTAGCTAACCTTGAACCTTAAGAAACAGCAGCCTATATTACAGCATTTAAGGATGAGGGTTTATATACAAACACATCATAAAACACTATATCTTTGTCTCTATCTATATCTCTATCTATATCTAATCCGATTCTGTAATGTCTACATCTATCTTTATCTGTATTTATATTTATATCTGGTATGAGAAATAATCCTGTGAAACCAAGGAAAACAAAAACCCATAGCACTAAAGTGTTTGAGGAAATCAAACAAAATCCTTATGCATGGAAGTACTGTTATTACACCAGTATGTGAAAATTAAAAAAAAAGGACTTCGAGCTGGCCAAAGCCTAGAGATTTTGAGACCTACTTCTATGGTGAGCTCACCAAAAAGACAAAAATGCCTTTAAAGTGAAATCAGTTATTGATTATTTTAATGTATACTGGAACAGTTAACTTTTCTACTAAGAAAATAAAAATAAAAATCAGAGCAAACAGACATAAGACACCAAGACATTTAAATCATTATATATGATATTCCCCTGCCTGTTGTCTACAATATCTTTGCTTCTAGACAACACAGTGAGTTTCTGCATGGCTGTAAATCTCACCCAGTACCTCTGAGGCCACTTGGTCTTCTCATCTCCCAAGTGTCTTAGTCTCTGGGCTCATCTTGCAAGCTGTCAGACCCAGGATGTACCTCTCCTGCTCCTTTTCTCTGAAATTCCTCTTTCCCCAGAGGTCTGTTTAGTAACTTCCCAAAACAACAGATAACCTCCCTCTACAGATATACACGACCCCATCTCCTCCAAGAACATCATACAATGGCAAACAAATGGAAAACCTCCAACTTCTATTGCATTGTATTTTGCAGAGAAATACTTAAACTGATTAATATAAATATATGTATAAATATATGATATATTTATGTAATCCACTAATCCTGTATGAGTTCACCTGTAGGGGCAGCAGCTGGAAAAAACATAGCAGTGTAGACAATATAATTAGCTGCTCATGGACTAGAGCTGTGATTCCAAAGTTTGGTGCATCAGTCTCTGAAAATGAAGCAATTGTGGTGCTCCACTGGAGAAGAATTCCCACTTCTTGTTCTTAGGTTCAGGAAATGATCTTCCCCTGATCCACAGTTCAATATTGCTCACAAATTTCCTTTAACTTTTGTAGTTTGTAGAGGAGTTCTCACATGATGGAAGGAAGGACAGAAGGAAATGTTAATAGAGAACAGATTTTTCTTACTCTTTAAAACTGATGGTTGTCTCCAGTTAGGCTATTGGTACACATCCACTGACTTAATGTTGCAGACAGGATCACAGATCTGCAGTTTATCAGACAGACCCGCTCTCATATAATTTTATAGAGCACTCCTTCCTGGGGAATAGACATGTAAATTTTCAGGATTTTTACAGCTGTAAGCATCCAGGGCTTCTCCTACTCCCAGAGAGGTAAGAGGGATTTAATCTAACATCTCTGGGAGCAAGAAAGCCATATCCATCTCCAAGAACCTCTTTTATGTCATCTAGTGACAGAAGCTATCAGAGTTCTGCTCTATCTCATTCCAATCAGACATTAAAATGAGTAAAAAGAATTAATTGCAATTACAACCGCCAAGGTGGTAAGAGTTAAAAAAGGTAAGAGTTTAAACCTGAAAGATTAAGGCTTTAGTCAGCTTTGAACTGTTAGGGGTGACTGACCTTCACCTGTCTTCTATGAGTCTATTTGCACCTTTCTCAGGAGCACCTGGTGCTATCCACAGACTAAAACTCCACATGAGGTCACACAGATTTGGGATATGATTCAATTCAGCAAATTCTGAGTTTCATTTATAAATATCAGTAGTTCCTGCAGCTGTGCAGACTGTTCTTCAAAGAGAAGAGACTTCCAACCTGAAAGAACTACTCCCCAGCTATTAAAAGAGGAAACATACCAACTTATCTGATAACCAGATGACAATCATTCCCCATGTCCCCAAAGAGTGCTTTTGCATCCAAACTCCAAAACATCCATGTTTAGGCTGACAAACTTTGCCTATGAGCATGGCTGACAAACTTTGCCTATGAGCATAGCTGGTGCTCTGGTTCTCAGAGTCCCAGCTGCATCTGTAGCTTCAGTCTGTCCTGCCTTTACACACAGGTCTGGCCACCAGCACAGTAAACAGCACTTCAGTCTTCCATAAAGTATCTCTCAGAATTATGAGAAATAGATAATACCTCTTAAGAAGACAATGTTTCCTTTCAACAGATCTGGGCATAACTGTCCAAGTATGTTTTACCTGGAAGGTACCTATTTTATTTATTTATTTATTTATTTATTTATTTATTTATTTTCTGACAGAACAGTGCTTTCAGTTTCTTTGGCCTTCTGTGTTAAGAAAATTCCATTTCTTCAGAAAGCATTTCAAGAAGCTGGAAAGATAGAGTTGGCATCAGACCAATGGCACACAAACAGTTTGTCTTAACAGAAGACTTTTCATTAGAAACAAACCATCTTCACTCTTGAAATGCTGAGTCTGTCATATATCTTGCAAATTCACTGTTCTCTTTCACTGTTTGCTGTTGTCTTTTCTTCTTTGAAGGGAGAGGGAGAGGGAGAGGCGAGGAGAGGCGAGGAGGAAAAATATTTGAAAGGAAGTGTTTGAAAAGAAACATTTGAAAAGACCATCTTCTGTTAATGGGGGCATGAGCACATGCTGCTGTGACATCTTTGACAGATTACCTACAAGGTCCATCAGCAACCCTGTTCCTTCCCAGCCACCAGTGCATCACCCAGCCCAACACCAGTCCTGAGAGGATGGATGAGCTGAGGAGACATGCAAAAGGGGTGGAGGCTGTTCCTCTGTCCACAGGGCAGAGATTTGTCAGACAGCACAGGAGTCCAGCAGACCCCACGCAGAAAGCTCCCACAAGCAGCCTGTGACCTTGTATGCTTTGGTGGGTGCAGGAAGGCCTGTGTCCTCTTGCCTTGCAGAGGAACAACCACCTTCTGTTTTACAGATCCTGCCACTGCTGCATAGAGAAGGTCTGCTTCTTAAGTGCAAGTTTATTCTTAACTCGTAGAGTTGGATAACATGATTATTATTTCTAATCTAACTACTATTCTGGAGGATATTCTTCCACTTTCTTATCCTCACAAGTGTGATCACTTGTCACTAGTGATCCCAAGCAAAACTACAATGCCAAAAAATAATAAATAAATAAATAAATAATAAATAAAACACTTCAGTGGGTGCCTTTGCAAACCAGTTGGGGAGGGTGTGTCACCAGACAGCCTGTGTAAGGGTCTGTCCATTTGTTACTCCACCTATCTTCTCTGAGCTCCCTCAGTAAGGATCAAGTTTGATCTCATTTGTACAGAGATGTGATGTGTAAAGGAAGCACTCCACATTGGTATTAAGTTTTGGTCTGTTCAGAATCTGCCCTGATACATCTATTTTTTCCTCTCTGTGTATGCACGCACTTGTATCCCTGTTTGAATCCTTTCAGCAGGCGTTTCTTGCTACACCCAGAGTGTATGACTACAGACATTCTTCTCCCATGACTGTTACGTAGTAATTTATGCAGCTCTCTGGTGTAGTATTTTTTTAGGACTGTAGCCTTTCCCCATCCTTTTATGTCCCATTTTAAAGGGGAATAAAGGTTCACTGGCTGGATTTCCAAAAGGGTGGATAAATTTATTACTGCTAATAATATTTTCAGCTACAAAATTAAATGAACTGAACTGCCAAAGCTTCTGACTGAGGTAGGAGGATCCCACATTTGGGACTATTCTTCTTTGCTCTGTGTAACACATCAGCAGTCCCTGTTCAGAGCTCAGTCCCCTCTGGCCATGAAGCTGAGAGGGGGGAGCATGATGGTGGCTCAGCAGGTAGGCTCCTGGCCGGCGCTCACCGCTCCTCTCCCACCTGAGAACCTACCTAGAAGGATGTGGAGACAAGGAGGGCAAGGTGACGGGGAGATACCAGTGTGGGAGAAGCAAAGCTCCATTCCCTGGACACCGTGAGCAATTGTTCCTGGTGGAGCTTGTGCTGTCTGAAAGGCTAACCAGCTGTGTTGGCTCAGGGTGCAAACTGGCTGATGCTCAGGGCAGAAAGGATTTCCAGGGCAACGTGCAGCTGTGGTGTCACAGCATGCCATTGTCTTTCTTTGTCCTGCATGTTTTTGTTTACTTCCCCTGAACTACTGGCAACTGCTGACACATGAGTGAGGTTTTCTGCAGTGGCAACAATGGTTCAAGCTCCATTCCCAACTCCATCCCCATCACTGACACTTGTCTTCAGGCTGCAGCTCACCACCTCTCAAGCCTCCTCCCTCCCCATCTCCTCACATAACTCACTGGTTTTAGTGGGAGGGACATCAAAGGTTATAGTCAGACAGACATCTCCCAAACACTTCAAGCAGCACAACAAAAGGGTTGGCAAGGTGTGGCACAACAGGAATGAACCTTCTGTGATGGGGCAGAGCCAAGGGATTGCCTGATGTTGGCTTCATACTGGAGGAAAACTTCACATGTAGCAACAACTGAAGTGAGAAATTATGGTCTTCTCCACCACAGTGTGAGCACAGGATCTGTCCACGAACCTCAGAAATGCCCTTTTTAAGTGCATCTTTCACTGAAAGCCATTTCTGGCAATGTGTGTGCACTTTGTTTCTTTTTTTGTTTTGTTTTGTTTTGTTTGTTTGTTTTTTGCCATACCACTGGCTCTGGCAAAATTTTAACCTTACAGAATGTATTTGAATAAGTGGCATTCATTGGCCTTTTTTTTTTCCTTCTCAGTTTCACTGTTTTGCATATTACTTTTAAATATTTTTTAAACTGTGCTTATTGTGTAAGTGCATGAGAGTTGTAGACAAAACTTTTGCAATGTTATATAGCATCTGGTTGGCCCGTTAGAATTAACCTTCAGTAATATGAGGGGTTATTGTTAATATAGGGTATTATTAGTATGTTCAAATAGAAGGTATCCAGTGATGATTCATCACTTAAGTAAAAAATAAGCTTTAAGCCACTGTGAGATCCAGAATTGTCTTTCTTTCCTCCTTCCCAAAGTGCAAAAGTATTTAAAACCATCTATAGATCAAGTTTACAATGGGAACACTATAGTCTGCTTGTGCTCCTGGATGGAGATAGGAGTCAGGCTAAATCCAGAGTATCAGTAGCTATTTTGGATGAATTCCAACTTGTGCACATCTTGAGAATGTGTCTGTTAGAGATGGGCAATGCTCATGGCTTAATCATAGACATTTGCTATTAATATTAATCTGTTTCTGCTTATGACTCAGAGCACTTTGTTGCCAGAACACACTGAAAACCCCAAAGGCAGTGACAATGAGTGTATTTATTATGTTAGCAGTGAAGCTGGGGTGTGTGTGGGGGGAGTGATGGTAATCTTCTTTTACAAATTAAAGTTATGGCTATTCATTTTATTGTTTGTCTCACCACATTACCTTGCTGCAGTCTCCATTGAGCTTCATGCTGAGAGAGAGCCCTTGCCCTTAGGAGCCCACCCAGCACAGCCAGGCACCAGGCACCTCCAGAGGAGACACACAAAGCCCCTGGGGAGCCAGACAGGTTGGGAGAGGCAGAGCAGGAGCCCCCAGGTCAGCCCAGGAGCTCACAGACTACACACACATGTCCCACAGGCTGCTTCAAAGGGCAGGAAAGGGATGGAGCCTCCTACTCCACCTATAAGCCTCATCTTCCTCCCTGAGGAACATCTCCCTCCATTACTTGTTAGAGAGAATTCCAGATCTGCCTCAGCAGTGAGCATAAAGGAAAAAAATGAAAATAAAACTATTGGACATCAGCAAGTAATGTCTTCTTCATTTCTGGCTACTCCTCATCTGAAAGAACAGGATCTCTCAAGCAAGCTGGAAATACATGCAAAAAGTTAGAGATGTCAGGAGAAGCAGAGCAAAGTGGATTCCCTGAGACTCCTTTTCCCATTCTTCTGAGGAAAGATTTGCTTTATTCCCCCCAAGGGCCAGGTCACAGAATGGCTACCTGCAGGAAGAGAGCTACTGGATTTTGAGCTCTGACAGGATTTCTACAGAGGTTCTGTTTTCCCCAAAAGAGTCCCACAGAACTGTTTCTTCCTGAGTGTCCTGAAATAAGAATTCTGTCCCCAAACCGATGCAACAAAAGCTGTCCTCAGTGCTTTTCTTTTCAATTATTTTCAACTCAGTGCCTTTGGAAGCCTGGCATTTTGATCCCCCCTTCAAGCCTTCTGTGGTGTCAGATAGTGCCTTGTGGGAATTTCTTCAGTTCAACCAGCTTTCAGAACTTCTAAAATTAAAAATAAATATGTGAGAAATAAAAATGAGGAGGTCCAAACAAATGCCAAAATACAGCACAGAATCATTAACGTATTAACTGGAATATAAGCAAACAAAGCAAATAGATGTGTCTTACTGACCTGAGTGGCTGGTTGGTTACACAACCTCCAAAACAAGGACTGGGCTAAGGATTTCAGTGTGCTTGTTCCTCTGAGTCATAAGTGTGTCAGGCTCCCTGGAAAAGGCCAGC